AACCTGTTTGCCTCACTCGGCCTGGTTTGCTTGCTTTTTACGAGAAAACACACACAATGAAAATGATACTTACTTTATTGCATCATTGTACTGACTAGAACGCCAGACTTATAGTGGGTATAAGTATAAAAATAACCGAATTCTTACAAATAATACTTTGCTGCTACAGTACAGAATAATTAGTGGAGGTTGGAGTTATAATACAACTTTAAATAACAGCCTCAGAATGGATTTAACACAGTCCATCCGGGACTAAGGTGTCAAGGTTTGCAAAGAGAGATCCAGGATGTGACTCAAACAGTTCAGATGGCAGCTACACGCTTCATTTCACCATAAATCCAGCAACACAAACATTGAAAAACCTCACGTTGAAAAACCTTTTTTTTGTAACCAAGGTAATAGAGGAAGATAAGTGAGTTGGGTTAGTTTCCCAGGTAGACTTCCATCCCTTCCCTGTGTGGTCCCATCCTTCCTCCCCGTTAACTCTGCATCTAATGCGTTAGACGTGCCCAAAAAACAACAATAAAACCGGAACTGATATGTCCTCTTAAAAAATACCCAGGAGTCAGAGCCACTCGAAGATCTGTCTCTTTTCAGACCCAAACTGTCCCTTTGGCATCACAGGTTTGTCTGCGAGCATTTACACCAAAGAAGATGGATTTTTAACACTACTGGGGAGATATTTAGCACAACGAGTTAACTGCCATTTAACACTTTTATGCTCCAAGTATTTTAACCAGTTTCCTTCTCTGGGCATTGGAGAAAAGAAGACACACACTGTAAAAGCCAACTCTACAAAACCGAGTATCTTTTTTCAAACACAAACACAGGAACCCCAGAGTGAAATAAAATGTCCCTGCTAACCCCCACATAAGTTTTCACATACAAAAACAACAACAAACAAAACTCTCTGACAGTAGGGTAGTGTTCAATAAGATGCAAAAGACTGAAATTCTTCCTCTTTCCAAAAACTTGCTTTTGTTTTAACATCAGTGTAAAAATCTCAGAACTATGGGTCAAACCCGAGTTGTGGGCGTGTTAAGCTAAACGAAGCCAGAAGCAAAGTTCATAGAGCCTCACGGGACCTGGGCCCTCCACCGTTGGGCAAGATGGCTTAATACCGGCCCCAAAAGGCCACGTGCAAGACCCTCCCGTGTCTGCCCTGGGCACGTTCACACCTGAATAAATACCCTTCAAAGACGTTTTCTTGGGAGGCCTTCCAGCCTTGTAATGAAAAGATGCTGCCCTCCCTCCCTCCCTCTGGGCCAACGTTCACAATCACCTCCTCCAGAACTGAACAATCACATCTTCATTTCTGACCCCAACGCTATCAGCCAGCTTTGATGAAACTACCCACTCAGCAATTTTGCTCTAAAGGACTTTGCTGCTTCTGAAAATAAACTTGCCCAAGCCGGAAGATTTGCCAGCATTTAAGACATTCTACTGAATATGCTCCCGACTCTGATACCATTCACAAACACGTGCCTCCGATAGATACGTGGGAGCCACAGCCTGCGCGAGGGAACAAGACAGAGCGGCCCTCAGATGGCCGGCTAAGTCCGGCTGCGTGTGTCCGAAACCCAGCTCATCACCTCACGCCTCCTACACCCAAAGCCACGTACCTACATGCTTCGTGCTAAGCATGAACCAGCTCTGTTTTCTTAACGATGACTACAAGTGTCCAAGAAATCCATGTAATAACAAACCGGAAAGGACTTTTTCAAAAGGGGGGTCAACATTGTTTTTTTTGCACTTCGTGTCATTAGTTTAGTTATTGCTTAATAACGTTAAGGTTCTTTAAAAAAAAAAAAAAAGATCACACACTTTAAACTCACTCTCGTGCCCTTTTGCATGTAAAGTACACTGGATGGTGAGGCAGGGAGGTACAGTGAGAACAACAAGCCAGGCAAAGGGTCTGAAGCCCGGCGCTCCGAGGCAACTATCCTCTCTGAAGTTCCCCGGACCCGAGAAACAGGCGCTCTCGAGCCCACCTCGCCAGGGAGCCTGCCTGTGACCCTTTAGTCTTCCTCTACTGTCTCCAGAGCCCTGGGCTGGCTTGTGGGGCAAAGAGGAAAAGACATGAGAAAGAAGACCCTTTGTTGAAGAGCTTACACAAAACCCATAGGTTAAGGTGACCAGATGTCCCGCGTTTGGCAAAAGCGGAACTTTTTAAAAAATGACGCGGGACAAATTGTTAAAAATCGGGACTTCCCACCAAAAGCGGGACGTCTGGTCACCTTGCCATAGGCACTACCTGCTCAGGTGTGCTACGGCGCAGGTGGGTTCCATTTGGGCCCCTCTCTTCCCTGTGGAAGTTTAAGAGTCTCGTGGGCAGTTAAGTGTCCCTTTCCCCTTCCTCCCACGCCCCCAGCTGGGGGCCCCACCCGGGGATACAGGCCTGGGACATGTTGATGAATTCCAGGCGTGTGGCCGGCACTGAGCATCTGGGCCATGGCTGTGTCCAGTCCCGTCCCTTGAGTTGAGGCGGCTGCTGCCTAGCAGGTGTTGCTCTTGGCAGACAGGACCCTTCTGGAGGTACCAGCCCCCCACACGGGAGGGAAGCCAGCCTCACACTATCAGCACCGGCTAATGGTCATGCTGTCTTCATGCCTCTTAGCGCCTCAGGCCCTGGAGAGGCATTCCCCACCCCCACACACTTCCTAGCAATCGCAGCGCCTGGGTGAACGCAATCTCGCGGGGAGGGGGGGGGGCTGCTTTTTTCACAGTAAAAGAAAAACAACATTCTTAATCCACTCACTTCATTACGCACAAAACCCATCCACAGGACCGTGTTCCTGGAGCGCCCAGGACATTCTTTTCCGGATTCTTCTCAAGAATGCGTTTGGGGCGGAACACTTCGTTTTGTGGAGCTCACAGCTCCGGCCCATGTACAGGAGGTGACCTGTCAGCTGAGGTGGCAGCTAACGGTGGCAGCCAGCAGTGCACGCCGGAGACCGGCCCCCGGAGAACCACCCCCGAGTGGCTCTGGGTCCTGGGGGGGAGCAGGATCTGACTGAGCGCCGGGCACCGGGCCACTCAGTCTGTTGGCTCAGGCGAGCAGGGGGCAAGAGCTCGGAGCTCTCCAGTTAGAGGGGAGGCCACGAGGCCCAGCGCTATCTGGTTCCACAGACAGATTTAAAAAGCCAACTTTTAGTTGGCATCTGCTGGCTACAGCAGTGTCCTCTTTGTATCGAGCTCCTGAGATGAGTGCACTTCAACGACCCCGAGGCCCCACACCTGGCTGACACTCCCCGCTCCTGCTGTGGACGGGGGCGAGGACTTGTGGAGACCACGGGGCACAGGAGTTGCCACTTAAACCAGTTAGGCTGAGGACTACAGAAGGGTGCGGGTTAGAAACATGCCGAAGAGGGTAGAGGACCTTAAAGAAACGGCCCCCAGGACAGAGGTGTCCCCACGGTGGGTTCCACGGAGCTCGGAGCTCCAGGGCGGGGCCAGTTCTTTACCTCTGTCTTCTCCACTTCATCCGGAACTAGGATGGGTCAAAGCAGAACCACCACAGCCCCACGAGGAGCAGCTGCAGACAGCGCTGCACACGCCCCTCGCAGGCCCCACGCCACAGGCACGATAAGTAAGACACTTGACGCTCCCTTCCCGCCTGTCCCAAAGTCTCTAGTTCTCCCATGCTGACCTGCATGCGGACCATGTTTCCGGAGGAAGCTGTATAGCGGTACAAAGAGGTGCAAATCACTGGATGCGCGAAAATAAGTTACTTCCCCGGTGAATAAATAGTTCTGAGCAGTGGGCTGAGAGTTTATGCCGAGTTTGAGGGTGAGATCAGGGAAGCAGGGGGAGGTGCAGCATCGGAAGTGGGCAGACTGCCACGTGGCTCCACCCCAGCTCGCTATCTTTCCGTGGGAATCTGCCCGGCTCCCCACGGCACCGGGGTTTCTGGCAATGAACTTGCCGGTTCAGCCCATCCCTCTAACCACGGTCCTCTGTGGTCCGCTGTGGAGACTCGGCATGCTGCTTTTCCTTCGGTGGTAAATCGGCAGCTCACACCCGACCTGCGTTCTGCTTAGCGTTTCCACTCCACCGGAGCGGCCGCGGCCTCCGAGATGAAGGTCAGACACCTGGGCAGCACGCCGTGTCCGCAGGGATGAGAAGCATCCTGCCGCCTTCAGGTTTCCTCGATGAGAAGCATCCTGTCGCCTTCAGGTTTCCTCGGCCTCCACTGCGCCCCGGGCCTGGGTGTGGCTTGCTGGGCCTCCCTGCAGGGCAGCTGGGTGCCTCTAACTACAACCAAATGGAAGTCATTTTGCCCTGGTCCCGCTTATTTGAAAAAAGTGGGTTTTAACTGCAAAGGGAAGAAGCAACCTTAACTCCAGGTGTCACCTTGACTGAAAAAAACAAACAAACTGGGGCCTTTCCATTTCTCATTCTGGGGGTTGGCTTGGAGACTGTAGCACGGGAACACCTGGAAACATGAAAATACTGTACACGAACCTACAGCATCTCCAGACCTTAGTGGTATGATCATCACCTTCACCTGTTGTTTCGCACACGGTGCTGGGCAGGGAAACAACTAGACAGCCAGTATTTCTGCTATAAATTAGTCACCCAAGTGAGGCCCATGGAAGCATCTGGGGGAACAAGGCCTTCTTTCTGGGAGTCTTGGGGGAAAAAAAAAACAAACCAAAGGAGACCTGCCTACCCAACTTACTAAAGTGCAAACTAGGAGACCCTGGTGCTTGCAGTGGTGCCCAACGGGCTGTCCCAGCTGGCGTCCTCCCTGCAGCCTGCGGAGCCGCGGCCATGCCGAGGCCTCCTGGTACTGGCCATGTGCACATTCACAGTAACAACAGCGAGCGGCCTGCGGCGGCGTCCACCGGCTCCCTCGGTGCCCTTCACTGTGGCCACGCCCTCACACTGTCCCGCTCCCTGCCTGCCCCTCCAGCACAGCTCAGGCGGGCCCCGTGCAGTCCTCTGAGCAGCAGCAGTCCCAGCCACCCGCTCAGAGCAATGGGCTCCTCTCTTCTCCCTTAAAAGTAGTCTCTTCTCCTGCTCTCATCACTGATGAAAGACGGGTTGTACTGTCCCGGGAAAATGCAAGAATGCCGAGATCCCGGCAATCCAGTGTAGGCCGGGTAGAGTCCGTTCCGTTCAAGTTCAGGATTCCTTACGCTGGTGGGCTGGAGGCCAGAGAGAAAAGGGGAAAAAAAAGGTCCATTATTCATGGGTTAAATTTAATACACACTCACACACACACACACACACACACACACACACACACACACACGTGTATGTATGTATGCCGTATTATAATAAACCTCAGATGGAGGCAGCTAGTACTCAGCAGAGCAAAATCTATCCGGGAAGCCAGGCCCCTCCTCCAGGTCAGCTCTTTATGGAAAAAACTTGGATGAAGGACAGTCTAGTGGTTTAAGACCAACATAGAAAAACACCTGGGTTAACGGTTATCTTTACTATGATCCAGATGAGTTATTATGTGATTATTAACTTGACCTTTTAAAAGAGTGTCTTTCTCTGTGGAGCACAACAGCTTTAATCCTCTTTGGTGTTTAGCTGAACTCACTGGGTGATGGGTCGCCTGACTCTCCTGTCGGAGATGGTGTTAGGCCCCCAGGCAGGAGGCCAACAGTGATTCTTAGGTGTCTCCGATCAGGTCCCAGCTTAGCAGGTTGCGACTACCTGTGTGACGTGCAAAAGGCGCTCCTGGGAATGGCAGGTCTGCTCTGAGGAGGCCCTCATGCGGGACCCCTGAGGAGAAGGCTCGCCTGGCAGAAATGAGGCATCGGTACAGCACACAGCAAGTCCTGGGACGGCGATGAGTGACAGCACTCACACAGGTGACAGCTTCATACCCTGGCCGGGCTCCGCTGCCAGAGTGCTCAGTCTCTTTGAAATGCTGATGGTGTTCATTTAAGTTCTCGATTGTCTCTATGGAAAGCAATTCTTTTTTTTTTTTTTTTTTTTTAGCTAACGCCATGGAAGCACAGCTGGGTCCTATGACTCCGCAGGCCTGTTTGTTGCTAGGCTGTCACACCACGCTGGGGCTGAGGAGACCCTAGCAAAGGTGGTCTTGGGTGTGAGTGTGTGGTCACTGGTCACTCCTAGGAAGACACTTGCTTAGCTATGGCTTCAGTTATTAGCGCAAAAGAACTTTCCTGACAAACAGAAAACAAAACCAACCCTTTATGCAGAAATAGCAACAAAACCGTTTGGACCAGGGGAACGTCTGTGCCTGCGTTTATCTTTCCTCCGGGGTCTTCTCGTTCTTCCTCCAGGAGTGGATTTTTTAAGAGCCATGGAAGCAATCGCTTTCGAACCATAAACAAACTTGCCCTTCTCATCCAGAGCCTGAGCCCCCTGGTTAGTCCCCATAGCAACCAGGGGGGTTGTGTTTCTGTCACAGGACTGCCCGGTGCTGTTTTGTGGAGCCAGGGTGCGTGTTTATTGCTACCGCTCCGACAGGGTGTGAGGTCACCTGACAACTATTTACTTGTCGGCTTTATGTGTTTGCTTTATGGCTGCCTCGGTATCGTGCGAAATGAGCTGAGCAGTGCCTGGAAATATGACAGAGGAAGCAAGGGTTGCAGGAAGTGTCCCATCATCTGTCCAAGGGACACAGTCCAGGGCGGGGCACAACAGGTTATTAAACACCTACTAAATATATCTTCGAAACCTCTGGGAAGTGCTGGTGGTGGATGAGGTTATGGTGTCCTCTATTTACCTTTCTCCAACCCCTCAGTTTCGATTACCCAAAGACACGACGGTAAATGGGGCTGGCAAGAGATAAAAAGGAAAGGGCCAAAAGTCAAGTATCATTAAATTCTTTCTCTATCTCTCAGCATCCACGCCTATACCTTAAAAGCAAGGTCCATAACTAGGTGGCTACTGCTACCGTCCCATAAAGGCAATGTGCTCTGTGGAAGCAGCTTTCATTTCTCACTGTCAGTTCCAGTCACTAACATACAAATCGATCATTAGCGAACTGAATATTAAATTCTGTCCATAAAGGGCTTAGGCCATCATTCCCTTTCACCTGTAACTAGCTGTAGTGCTGTCACTACAGCCAAACAGAACCCCTTTAATTCTCGGAGGAGGCGGGAGCCTGAGGTCCCCCTGGACACGGGCTACACACCGAGTAATACACGTCCGTCATCTGGAGGAGGTTTTTGGTGCTTCCGTTCTCATGCATCTCAATAGCTTCTCGGCCCCATTCCTGTGAGCGAGGGTTCTTGGGGTACTCGGCGTAGGGGGACATTTGGAAATCTCCACTTTTGAAGATGAGTTTGCTTATGTCATTTTTATTCTTTCTGTGGAGTAAAAAAAAATATTTGAAAATTTAAATGAGTAAATTTTGAGGAAAAACACACACCTCACAAACAGGTATTTGGGAAAGCACCATCCAGCATTTTACAAGGTAAATTAGACCTCAAGCTACCACTATACCGGTATTTCTTTGTAACTGCCCACCCAGGAATGTCATTATTGTTATTGTCTTTAGTATTTGCCCCAAACAAGTAAAAATGCGATTAGGTGTAAGAAGGGATGCAAAAACCCTTCCACCTAAGAGGCCCAGGGGACCATGGGCAGATCTGTCAAGGGAGCTGCCATAGAGCTGACTCAGACCCTCCTGGGGACAGACCGGCACTTCGTTGGGGCAGTTGGGAGCCCAGAGTCAGAGGAAAGGCCTTCGGCCCACTGGTTCCCGGCCAGCTGGGGCTTCACAATGCACAGGGAGCTTCTAGATCTCATGCAGATTCACCCCCAAAACTTTGCAGGGCCTTGAAACCTCACCTCTGCTGAGAGAGTCTCCTGCCCCCATGGCTGCTTAACTTCCCATGCCCAGCTCAAATCGGGACCCGGGTAAAAGACAGCTGGCAGCAGCTGCCCTCGCACTACAACAAGACTTGTTTGAGTTGTCTTGTACCCATGGTGTGGGGAAGTGGGTTTTTGATATCTAAATCCAGCCTTCCACCAGGAATGCTCAGGGCCTACTCAAGAAGGCAAATAAGCCTTTCCCCTAATATTTACATGGTAAAATAAGATTGTTTTAGAGTAATAAATTTGACAGTAAAACAGTAGATAAGTTTTCAGGCTAATTTAAATTGGCTAATTGAAATAAGCAAATATTCTAGAAAAACTAATTGCACTGGACAAAAAACTGTTCCTAAAGTGTTAACTAAAATTTTTATTGGTAGTTCATCTCAGGATAAAATCTCACAACAGGAAATGAACCTAAAGCAGTCATATTATAGTGCAAAAAATTAAAATTTAAAAACTATCAAGACTACATTATAAAATTTTCAAAAGCCTCCTAATATTTAAATCAAAAAAGGGGTAAAGTAGAAGAATATCATGTAAGGAAAAATATCCTGAAAGTAAATTACATCTAGAAAATTTGCACTTTAGGAAACTAATTGTTATGCTATCAGCAAGACACCCATGAAAAACACACATGGTGTCAAAACAAGCCAGAGGAAAATCATTTGGGCAAAAAATGAAAAAGGATCCCAAGTCAAATTTATAGAAAATATTCCTTTATTAACTTTTGGTCAAGAATATGTATATTTTCAGAAAACAACTCCGAGACCATGTGGATGCTGGCAATAGAGAGGAATTGACAGGACTACTCCAACCATGAAGACAGAAGAGAAGAGTCCAGAGATGGAAGATGCTGATGACGCCTTGCCATTATAGCAGTCAGCAGCTGTGTATCACTGCAGGTTGCCCAGGACCAAACCAGAGAGGGTTGGACCTGCATTACCACCATTGGTTCACCATCCAGAACTGAAATATCATTGCTGATATATACACATAAGGAACTGTTTGACATTGAAATTGGGTCTCAAAAGAACTGGTGGCCCAGAAAGAAACTCACTATAGACTAATTCATATGCCCTTCAGCATAACAATTATTGCTTATCTCATTTTCGATTCTTATATTTCCAGTAAGACATGATTTCACTCATCTAGGGGAAATGGTGAACAACATAGACTGATAAACAAGAACAGACCCAGAGATAAGGAGCCATGGGTCAGACTGCTGGACCTCAGAAGGAGGGTGGAGATAAAAGGGAGAGATCAACCAAAGGACTTAAGTGCACACATCTGAGCCTAACCAGTGGTCAAGGACAATAGGGGGGTGGGGGCATGAGTGGTGGGGGTGGGGAATTGGAATGAGGGATTGAGGACACATATGTGATACCTTAACCTGTTAACCAGGGAGTTCCCTTTTTAATTATGCAATGTATAACGGGCGCATACTCTTTCACTAGGACGTGTCAGTACATCACGCCCAGTGGACATAATTTCATATTATTATTATTATTATTTATTATTTATACTTAATTAAAATAAATGAAATATATATATTTTTTGTTTATTTATATATAAAGCACAAAGGAAAATACAAAATTACAAACAAATAGAAAAGGATACCAACAAAAAAATGGAAACATCGAATTAAAAAATTATAAATTTTACAAACAATTATAAAGATTACAAAAAATATATACTGTCCGTTTCAGGGCACAACATATATTTCAAGGACGTATTCACATGTCCTCCTTGTTCCAGATATTGTTTACATTTGACGTATTTATAAGTCCCACTCGGTTAACAGGTTAATCAATAAAGAAATTAAAAAAAAATAATACAAAATAAAATTGACATAAAATCTGAAAACACACACACACACAAAAACAAACAAACAAACAAAACATAAAAAAACCCACAAAAAAAAACAACCAGGAGCTCTGGAATGGGGTGCCTCTGGCTGGGCGGGGAGATGCCACTTGCTACCCGGGCCACACCTGGCTACTAACAAAGCTGGGACTGGAACAAAGGCCTGGCTTGTACTCTTCTATTATATCACATGAAGCTACTTTGCAAACCATAAAATCAGGATGTCTTGTTTGCAAAACAAAAGCCACCTATTTATACACCTACACATTTCACGTCAGTGGGTCAGGAAACCCTGGGGCAAGCCCTCTGCTTTTGAGAGGTCACTGGGAATTGTTGGAATATGTTCATCACCTATGTACCAAACACTGTTACCCATATGTACCCTGGACGTTTCTTACTCCTGTCTCCTTTTCCTATAAGTAAATGTTCTTCGGAAAGCACAAAGCAACCTATGATCATAAAAGCAAATGTCCAGTGTGTGACTTACGTGCGGTTCCTCCTGCAAATGCAGAATAAGCCTGCCACTGTGCGGTCCCGGGAGGGTGGGGCACCTGGTCTCACACAATGGCTTACATATTCACAACCAGCCTTCCTTTCCAGTCACCGGCAGTCACGGGTCCTTCCCACATGGTTACACTCCCCGTACAGGGCACTGAGCACGCAGGAGGCCTATGTCCCCTTGAGCACCCAGGGTTTCTCTCTCCAGTTTCTATTCTCAGCCCAGAATTTTATTTCACTCATCCTTGTGGATGAAAGGGGCCACATGCTAACTTGACAGGCTCAGGGAAGGCCTGCATGGCAGTTTTGCAAACTCAGAGATCTAAAGTAATCACAAAGGATGATCTTTGAAATTAAACTTTAACTAAAGCTGTTACGGTGGGCAGTTACATCCTATGCTGGTATCTTCACTGACATGGTCAACCTTTACCTTAACTGAGCCTATCTGTCTTTTTGCATCTATGATAACATACCCTTGAAATATCTGAGTGACTTGTAATTTCCCTATTTCTGGACCCCTTGGGGCACAACCTTAATGTGCCTGGGCTCCAGGACAGACACCACAAGTTCCCTCATTGTTATGTTAATTATCCCTGCACCCACCTAAGTATGTGTCTATCATTTTACTTTTTATCCAATCCCAGGGGTTTCCCTGCTTTGCTTTCTCCTGCCTCTCTAGGCTATCACCAATGGATTTCATGTAACCCACCTACGTCCCTTTCCTTTGATTGCAATGTATAAATACAGATGTAACCTGCCATTCTCCAGAGCATTATCTCAGTTCATTGAGATTCTGCTTCCCGGCATATGTTGACAGTTTGGCTCAAATAAACTCACAAAAAAATCTTTACAGGCTTCAATGGTTTTTTAACAAACTTTATCTTCGATCATTTGGTGGCAACTTTGTAAGTGACCGGCAAAGGCTGTACCATGAAGCCTGCATCCTGAATGGGTGATTGTTATGGCAACCTGGCCCCTCAGCCTTACTGAGACGAAGGGGATTTTAAAAAGTCCTGCATGTCAGTGGTCAAAAAGAAAACTTGCTCTTTTGGTAGGTTTCCTCCATCTGTTATCTCAGGAGAATGACTGCCATTTATTATCATCGAAATCAAAGGTCATAATGTTTCCTTATCTGAATAATCACAGAGAAGGGGAACCAACTCTGTGCTTTCTCTTCCCTTCCCAGTAGAAGCTCCCAGGAAGCCCAGCGCCTAGCACATGATGACTGCATCTGCTCATCCTGGGCCTGCTACAACTTCTCTGTGCTCAGGTATCTCAGGTAACCCCTTTCATCTTTGTCTGATTTTTAACTTGTCCATTTAGAGTGTACAATCAGTGGGTTTTAGTATATTCAGCGTTGTGTAACCAACATCACAATTTTAGAACAGTTTCATCACCCCAAAGAGAAACCTCATACTCCTTAGCCTTTATTTCTCAATTCTACCCTCTGCCCACGCAGCCCTAGGCACTTGCTCGTATACTTTCTGTCTCTATTAGATTTGCCAATTTGGAACATTTCATATAAATGCAAGAGTTGGTCTTTGAAGGCTGTCTTATTCCACTTAGCATTTTTTCAAGGCTCATGCCCATTACAGCATATATCAGTATTTCATTCCTTTTTATGGTTGAACTAGAGGCCTGGTGCACGAATTCGTACACATTGAAAGGAAATTAATTAGAAGAAATATTTTAATATCGCTATTCACCCTTTCTTTCTAATAGAAGTGTCAACCAAATTCATGATTAACAATGACAGATAGAAATAATGGTGTGATTGTCACCAGCGAGATACACACACACACACACACACACACACACACATATATATATATATATATTAGACCTGCTTTTTGATTTAGCTAAACTTTTTCTAGCCCAGCAAAGCACTCCAACTTCTCTTTCAGGTAACTATCAGCAACACAGCAGTAAATATCAACACGAAGCAGATTATCATAGGTCACACAGGGAGAACAAAGGGTGAAATATTTAACTGCAGCAGTGCTTGACTATGTTCTGCACAGTGAGAAAACCTGAAGTCATTTTTAAGGTTCACTATTTCTTATTTCTTTTCAGTCAGGCCCAGTTTCTAAACTTTCTAAGTCTCCATTTTCTGGCTAATGAAAAAAAAAAAACAGGATTCTACTAATTCTCCTATCTACCTACTCCAGGATTTCTGTGAGGATCAAATGAGATGAGGCATGTGAAAACATTTCACAGACATTTGGTTAAACTATATAATATTTGCACCTGGCTATAAAGCAAGTTATGTTCCTGGGCTGAAGAAATGCCAAGGAGACTAGTAACTAGGGAGAGGAAGCCAGGAATTACTACGTGATGTCATTACCTAGCACCCATAGCCACTGTTTCTGGGCTGGGCTAGGCTGTGGGCTGCATTTTGCACCATGGGGTCTTGGCAGTGTTGGCTGTGATTTGGTGGAATGTTGCTCTGGGGTGGTGGCAGGGCCTGTGTCCCACTTGGGGGAAGCCAAGTGTTGTTTTGTGGGCACCAGGTCTGCAGTGCCATTTCTCTATAAATGGCCAGTGAGCGCCATGGCAGCTCCTGTGTTGAGCATCTGCCCCCTGCTGGTCAGTGGGCATTATAGCAATTGATTGGATAGTCAGACACTTAGCATATTAGCCTTTTATATATAAGGCTAATATGCTAAGTGTGGTTTGTCCTTTCACATATATATATTTTATATTCAATTGTATGGATATGTCAAATTTTGCTTATCCATTCATCAGTTGATGGATACTGGGGTTATTTTCACCTCTTGGCTATTATGAATAATGCTACTATGAACATTCATGTACATGTTTCTGTGTGGACATAACTTTTCATTTTTCTTGGTATATACATAAGAGTAGAAGTACTAGGTCAAATGGCAACACTGTGTTTAATTTTCTGAGGAATGGCCAGACACTTTCAAAGAGCTACATCATTTTACTTTTCTACTGCAGAGTATTTGTGTTCTAATTTTTCCATATCCTCATTCCAACACTTGTAATTTCCTAGATTTTAAAAAATAATTTATTGATTGGTTGATTTTAAAGAGAAGTGCTGTTTGAAGACGACCTTGCATTGTTCTCTTTGTACCTTTATCTAACCCCTCAGTTTTGATTACCCAATCACGTGAGGTAAAGCTGTTCCACTCAGTTATGTATTCACTGGTTAACTCTTGTATGTGCCCTGATTAGGGATCGAACTTGCAACCTTGGCATATCAAAATAATACTCTAACCAACTGAACTACCCAACCAGGGCTCTTTTTAAAAATATATATATTTTATTGATTTTTTTTTTTACAAAGAGGAAGGGAGAGAGAGAGAGAGAGAGAGAGCTAGAAACATCAATGAGAGAGAGACATCGACCAGCTGCCTCCTGTACATCCCCTACTCGGGATGTGCCCGCAATCAAGGTACATGCCCTTGACCGGAATCGAACCCGGGACCCTTCAGTCTGCAGGCTGATGCTCTATCCACTGAGCCAAACCGGTTTCGGCAGGGCTTTTTTTTTTAAATTAGACATCACAGTGGACCAAGATGCTTTTGATTGCATTTCCCTGATGGCTAATGATACAGAACATCCTTTCATGTGCCTTCTGGACACTGTATATCTTCTCTGAAGAAACGTCTTTTCAAGTCCTTTTCCATTTTAAAATTGGACATTTTAAAATGGTTCATTATGATTTAATGTCTTTTTATTATTGAGTTGTAAGACATCTTTATATATTCTACCCGCAAGTCCCTTATTACACATATGATTTATTTGCAAATACTCTCTCCCATTCTGTGGTTTGTCCTTTCACTTTCTTGATAGTGATAGGCTTCAGAACAAGCCTCCCCAGAACATGCCACTTTGGCCGGCAGACAAATCTGAGCTGAAGACTATCAAGGCCCAAAAGACTCAGGAAGAGCTTTTACACTTCCCTTTAACTGCCTAAAAGGATTTTGATGGAGGGCTTGGCCCAGAAAGAGAGCTATCTCCGGAGATCACTACAAAGAGTGTGGGCTGGGCGTGGAAAGCTGGGGGGGAGCTCACAGGGCCTGTTTGCTCCAAGTCCCCTCTGTGTCCCACTGTCTCTGCATCCCGTTGTCTCTGCATAGCATGGCGAACGTTGGTGTCTCCATCTTCCTGTAAACCACCTTCCTCCCCTTTGGAAGTCCCAGGCCCTGCCCGTCCTCTTAGCTGAGGATGGAACATAAGCCTTCACTGTCTAACTGCCTGTGGGTCTCACCTTTTTATGTGCCACCATCCCCCCTTATACACATAATTAAATGTGTTTTTATCCTATTAAACTGTCTACTGTCTTATGTTAATTTGATTAACAGACCCAAGAACCTAAAAGGGTAGAGAAAAAATTCTGTCCCATACATTAGCAGAGAAGTTTTTAACTTTGATGGAATCCAATCTCTCTTTTTTGTTGCTTGTGCTTTTGGATATTCCTTTTCATTAAAGAAAATAAAGTCCTATTTGCTGTCTTTTCTTTCCTCCAATGGCACTAAACCTATCATGAATTTCCCTTTCTGCTTTTTTCAGTGGTTCAGTCATATATTACGATTTGATGCTGCAAACCACCCCGAACGTTCCCGAAGAATAAAAAAAACGGCCCCTGCGAAGCACATGCAAAGGAACAGAATTAGAGTGTGAACTCCATCACTCACCGGCAGCAGGTGACAATCAGTGCAATGCCCAGGATCAGCAGAAGCCCGCCTCCTGCTGCTGCAATCACTACGGTGATAAGCTGGTAGGCTAAACAGGTTTAAAAGAAAAAGACTGGTAAGAGGTCACGAATGAAGAAACAAATACACAAGTATGATTCTCCTCCTGACCCCACAGTGACCTCACCTTTCACTTCCTGGGCCCCCAGCAAGGGATCCTCAGGGTTAGCTGTACATTTTTTAGGTTAGAGGGTATTTGCCACCCCAAAAATATGCCTCTTTGGCATATGGGTTATTTCTGAGAAATTGCAGACATAGGAGAAGCTCTGAAAACAGAGCATCATTTACCCGTTTGTAAGGGAGATTACATTAGAAAGCCCGCCTGCACCAGGAATAGAGCTATTTAGCAGGGAGAACTTTTTCAGCAGAGAGATTGTCCTACCTGGCAGGAAAGCCATTGTCTGCCAGACATTTCCTCTTCTCACCATCCCATGACTTGCCTTCCCCACTCTGCAGCCCCAGGGCCCTGGTCCTACCCTTAGCTCAGGCGGGTGTATTAGCCTCAATCACTTGTGCCTTTGGAGTCTCATCTTGTGCCTTTGGAGTCTCATCCCATGGGCACATATGTAATTAAATCTTGTTCACCGGGTAATACACTTTATTATGGTGATATGTGGGGGCATCAGCCAAGAATGTAGAGGGTAGAGGAAAAGTTATTTTTCTCCCCTACACTGTGTTCAGTCAAGTCTCTCTTTCTCAGCCACTTCTGGAATGGCTCCCAAAGTGCCTGCAGACCAGCCCTGAAGACATTTTCATAATCCATGGTACAAAGAGAAAAATGAAGGAGATAGATGAATTTTTCAAAAACTTAATCTATCTGGTTTTAACCATTTTTCTGTCTTCTACGACTCTGTCTTTCCTGGTTTTCCCTCATTATGTGTGCATTTTACTATGTGTAAATTATGTCTCCAGTAAAATTGGTTTTTAAACACTAATAGAGAAAATATAGAATCTTTTCTTGGCTATTTCCATCCTTTGGTGCTGTTTCTTAGATTTTTAAAAAATGTATAGTGACAGTAAATATAAAAATTCCTAATTTGGTTTTAGGTTTTTAATTACTAAAATAAAAAGGAGGTGACCCTAGGTTAGACTCTCTAGTTTTATAAGAAATATTACTGCCCTAGCTGGTTTGGGTCAGTGGATAGAGCGTCGGCCTGGGTACTGAAGGTCCCAGGTTCGGTTCCAGTCAAGGGCACATGCCTGGGTTGCGGCTCAGTCCCCAGTGGGGGGCGTGTGGGAGGCAGCCAATCAATGATTCCCTCTCATCATTGATATTTCTATCTCTTTCTCCCCCTTCCTCTCTCAAGTCAATAAAAATTTATTTAAAAAAAAAAAGAGAGAAAATAAAAAGAAATATTACTGGCCAGTTAAGACCAGAGCTGGGAACCACTGCATACACCATGCTAGGCACTGAGTGGTTTCCTCAATACATACAAATGGAATTTAACTACCAAAAATTAGCAGTCACATACGCAGGTACATATCACACATAGTAATATTAATTTTTAATCCATAAATTTTATACCTGTGCATTTTTTGCAAAATCCTATTTTAGTAAAGCTTATTATTTATTTATTTATTTATTTATTAAAAGATCTGTGACTTTAAAAAAATATTTTTATTGATTTTTTACAGAGCAGAAGGGAGAGGGATAGAGAGCTAGAAACATGGATGAGAGAGAAACAACAACCAGCTGCCTCCTGCACACCCCCCACTGGGGATGTGCCCACAACCAAGGTAGGTGCCCTTGACCGGAATGGAACCTGGGACCCGGAATGGAACCTGGGACCCTTCTGTCTGCAGGCCAATGCTCTATCCACTGAGCTAAATCAGTCAGGGCTAGTAAAGCTAATTAAGCAATGATTTTTTAAAAATTTATCCTCACCCAAGGATATTTTTTTCATTTATTTTTTTTTAGAGAGAGTGGAAGGAAGGGAGGCGAGAGGGGAAGGGAGAAAGAGAAACACCAATGTGAGAGAGACACATTGATTAGTTGCCTCCTATACATGCTCTGATTGGTTGGGAATCAAACCTGCAACCCAGGTATGTGTCCTAAACCAGAAATTGAACCCACACCCTTCAGTGCATGGCTGGCACTCTAACCACTGAACACCACCAGCCAGTGCCAGATAGCTTTTTCCTTTGTTGTGGAAATAAAAATAAAATTTTGTTCTGAGGTTCTACGGTCCAGATGTAAAAGAGACTGATAGCCACGTTTCCAGTAGTAAAATAAGATGGAACCATGTCTCCCTGCCTTCAGGAAAATGCACGGAGCTAAGAGTGAACTGACTGTGAGACAAAAGCAAATGCGTGCTAAGCAACCATTTGCCTACCCTTTATTTGAATAAACAGCACAGAAACCTGGTTATCTTGGAGACCATGAGTACTAAGATGTACAGAAAACAAAGCTAAACCTTGGAGTGAGGTCATTCCCTCCCTCAACTCCCAAAACATGTATTCAAACTTTCACTTCTAACCAACGTGAAGACAAAAGACAAATCTTGATTTTCAACTCTTTCTCATCACCAGTACCACCCCCTGAGCTATAGTTAACTCCTGATTAGACAACACGGAACCGTCTCCCAACATACTTTCCTGCACCATCTTGGCCCCTCATTTCAAAACACAAACCTGATTGCGCTCTGTCCCTGCTTCAGTAAACCTACAGTGAAACAAACGGACAAACTAACCTACAGTGGGCCCCTGTTTTCAAAGACCAAAGTCTGGCTCCGCTCACCCCTCGGCACCAGACTGAAAACCTCTCACTCCAGCAAAGCAAGCAGGCGCTCAGTTTAGAGGCGGCCTCACAGGGGGCCGCAGCTGTGGCAGGTTCCCCTGGAAAACAAGCGGTTTGTCTCAGCAGAGACAGACTCAGAAGCACCGTGCCCAATGCTTCTCAAACCACCTGTGGCCCAGGACCTGTCTTTCTTTGCTTGTGCATTTTTATATCATTTTAAAATAAAGAAAATAAAGTCTCATCTTTCCCCCTGTATGCACCCAGGTCAGGAATCCAACCTGGCCACCTTTTGGTTCATGGGACGATGCTCACCCAACTAAGCCCTGGCCAGGGCGCTTTTGCCCTTTTTTTTTTTTTTTTTTTTTTTTTTTTTAAGGAGTCTACTGTGGAGTGACTTTGTAAAATACAATAATACTATTTTTTAAAAGGATCCCATGCCAAAACCGGTTTGGCTCAGTGGATAGAGCATCGGCCTGTGGACTGAAAGGTCCCAGGTTTGATTCTAGTCAAGGGCATGTACCCTGGTTGCAGGCACATCCCCAGTGAGGGAGGTGTGCAAGAGACAGTTGATCAATGTTTCTCTTATCGATGTTTCTAACTCTCTATCCCTCTCTCTTCCTCTCTGTAAAAAATCAATAAAATATATTTTAAATAAATAAATAAAACAAAAGGATCCCATGGCTGGGTGTCACAGCATGTCCAATTAACATCCATGTTTCTAAGTTTAATATAAATGTTTCTACGTGTTTCCTCTCAATTTCTGTGTTATCTTGTATATCTTGTTTCAGCCCCATAACAGCTCGCAGACCACATTTTGAGGAGCACTGGTATGCCCTCGTGCTCCTGAGACTTTCCTGGGGGTCTGAACCACCCAGAGGCTGTGCAAACTCAGGCGGTCCCCACCTGAAAAGGCTTGGTCCCGCAGGTCTGGGCCTGGGCCAAGAAGAGAAGTTGTACCTCCAGCCAGTTCCGGGGGCACTGCCATGCTGCCGCCTGCAGACCGGACCTTGGGTAGCATTGGCTTAGATTACACAGGAGAGGAATCTTAGACTGCACCTGAGCAGTGAGAAAGAGCTGGGAGGGAATTTACCAAGACATTCATGGAAGGTAGGGCTGCCTCGAGTACTTTACTTTCTTCTTTGGGGTTTTCTATATGTCCCAGATTTAAAAAAATATATTTTTTAATTGATTTCAGAGAGGAAGGGATAGGGAGGGAGAGATAGAAACAATGATGAGAGAGAATCATTGATGGGCTACTTCCTGCACACTCCCTACTGGGAGTTGAGCCCACCACCTGGGTACATGCCCTTGATTGGAATCAAACCTGGGACCATTCAGTCTGCAAGCCAATGCTCTATCCACTGAGCCAAACCAGCTAGGGCTGTCCCAGATTTCATTCATATGTGTACACACACACACACACACACACACTCACTCATAACCTTCTCTAAATGTAGAAATTGTGTGTAACTACATATACATAATTTATTTCATATACATATATACTTTTTTAAAGAGTATGTTTGATGTTCTTTGGCAGCCATATCAACGGAAACTTGTAATAAGTTTATGGACAATACAACCCACAGATCTTTTTTTCTCATACCAGCTGTGAAGTCAGTTCATGAACTATGTGATTCTTTGGACTCCAGTACTGACTTTGGATTTATTATGAGGCCACGTGATGATGTACAAGTGCATGGTGTTCAAATCAACATCCACTATAACGTTCCTCAGTTCCATGGGCGCTCTGAAAGATGACTAATTAAGGTGAGAGAAGGCAGCGGGTGTCGGCTTATGTCTGTTTGTCTTATTCTTTCCACTTTGAGATCTCCAGAAAGGACTTGGAATTCTCAGTCTTACTTTCTTTTTTAATTGATATTTTAAGAGAGAGAGAGGAAGGGACAGGGATAGAGAGAGATAGAAACATCAATGAGAGAGATGATAGAGAAACATCATCGAACGGCTGCCTCCTGCACAGCCCCTTCTGGGGACTGAGCCCAAAACCTAGGCTTGTGCCCTGACCGGGAATCGAACTGGTGACTTCTTGGTTCTTGGGTTGATGCTCAACCACTGAGCCATGCTGGCCAGGCTTACTTTCTGACATTTGTTGACATTTCAGTCTTTCTCCAGCAGCGGCTCTATCTTTTCTTTATTCTAATAGTTTGGTCCTAGGTTGATGTCGTTGTCATCACTGTCAACAGTTTTCATTAAGCCAACCATTCTGAGCCTTAGCCTTTTCTACAAACTATTTTGTCCTTGCTCATACGCTTATTTGGGTGGATTCCATCAGA